ATATAATCTCTTGTAGAAATAATCGAATCGACGGAAGTATGGAAGATCATTATGGTTTGGGATGTTAATGAATCATAGTTAATCAATAGAAAAGGTATACCTCTTGTAGCGTAAGCGTACATGGTACCTTTGTTTAGTATTAAATATCCTCGCTCTGAAACGACTACGAATGAAATATTCTCATAGTCACCAATTATGGGATGAACAGAATCGAGAACCGTGTGTGGACACTATTCCTTATCTCAGGAAAGATAAAAAAATTTCGGAGCTAAAATAAAAATATATATAGGAATAAAATATTGGTTTATTGTTTTTCCATCAATATGAGATAAAGTTATCTCTATCAACCCTAAAATTACATCGTTTTGGAGGTTGAGAGAATTAATTAAGGGTACTTTAGTAATTTTATTTATTTGACAGAGCAATCTCTAGGAGAGACTTGGCAGAGCAGCGGCTAACGAAGAGTGGTTCCTCCAATTCTAAGAAAGATTAGTAAGTCACCATCATTTTAATGGATATGATCATAGGCCTGTTTTCCTTGGAGAACCTTATGAAGAGAGGGGAAGAGATGCCTTGAGACCTTTTAAATCCCTAGAAGCTTGGCTTACTCATGAGAATTTTGACAGCATAGTTAATTCTAGTTGGAGGGGGAGCATGGTTAGGTTTCAGCCAAGAATTCTTTGCATAGAAAAGCCTCTGATTGGCACTACCCAACCTTTGTGGAGCAACAAAAACAAAATATAAATATCCAAACGAGACTAAGAGGGACCGATGAAGAATTGGAGAAAGGCCCAAACAGCAATCTGGAAATTTTTCAAAAAGATCTTTGGTAGCTGCTGAATTTAATATACATCTGAGAAGAGCTCACTTGGTTCCAACGAGCTATAAGTATTTGGTTAATATTTGGGGATAAGAATACCAAGTTCTATCACAAGGCTACCGTCATTAGAAGAAGAAGAAACAAAGCCAAATCCCTCAGGCATGACCAGGGCACTTGGACCGAAGATACCTATGCCCTTCAAGGCCTTGCCATCTTATATTTCCGTGAGTTATATACTTACGCTACTCTCAGTAAACCTCTTTTCTGTATTAGCGGAGCTTTCCCTTTGGTGAATGATAGAGATACAACCCTCTTGGATAAGCTTCCAACGAAAGAGGAGATTAAAAGTGGAATTTTCAGCATGCACCCCCACAAAGCTCCTGGACCCAAAGGCTTCCATGCCATTTCTTCCAAACTCAATGGAATACCATCAAGGAATCTATGTTGTCTTTGATCTTTGATACCTTCTCCAACCCTGCTAAGGTCTCAAACATCAACCAAAATCTCCTATGTGTTATCCCAAGGTGGAGAATCTTGAACACATCTCGGAGTTTAGACCTATAAGCCTTTGCAATATGATCTATAAACTGATCACTAAGATCATATCCAATGCTCAAAGGACATATGTCTTTTTTGGTCATGCCAAATCAATGTAGTTTTGTTAAAGGGAGGCTTAGTGATGACAACATCATAATAGCTCAAGAGATGATACACTCTATGAGAAGCAAGAAAGGGAAAAAAAAGCTGGATAGTGATTAAAGTAGACGTAGAAAAAGCCTATGACATAATCGGTTGGAACTTTCTCCAAGACACCCTCCTGAACCTCAAATTGCTAAGCAGGATTATCAATCTAATCATCCATTGTGTCACCTCTAGCATAATGAACATTCTTCGGAGTGGTAGAAAAATCGAAGAGTTCAAAACTTTAAGAGGTTTAAGGCAAGGTGGCTCTCTCTCACCTTATCTTTTTATGCTTTGCATGAAAAGGCTAGCTCACCTCATAACTGAAGCAACATGCCAGAAAGTATGGAAACTTTTTTCATTCAATAAAAAGGCCTTCCCATATCTTCTTCACAAATGATCTTCTGTAGTGCTGTGAAGCCTCTCTAGATCAAGCTTTGGTTGTGAATCATATCCTTGGTAACTTTTGTGCAGCATTAGGACAAAAAGTGAACATAAGTACAACCAAAGTCATTTTCAAAAAGTATATGAATCACAATGGAGTTACAGAAATTAACCAACAATTGGGTTTTTCTTTCACATCGGACCTTGGAAAATATTTGGGAATTCCTATCCATCACAAGAGAGTTGGAAATAGAACTTTCAACTTCATCATTGGCAAAGCTAATAAAAGACTCAACGCTTGGAATCAAGCATCCTTAGCTACGGATGACCGAATTACTTTAGCAAAATTTATTGTGGCTACTCTCCCTACTTACACCATGCAAACTTTATCTCTTCCAAGTAGGACTTGTGAGGAGTTGGAAAAAAGATCAGGGGTTTTGTGTTGGGATCTAGTTCTACCTCCAGGAAAGTCCATGCTCTTCATTGGAACATAGTATGCAAACCAAAGACAAAAGGTGACTTGGGATTTCAAAATATAAAACAGTTGAATAAGGCATATTTAATGAAGATTGGCTATGTTTTGATTACTAATCCAGATTTCTTGTGGGCTAGAGTTCTTAGGAGCAAGTACAAAGTGGAGGACAACATCATCCCCAAACTAAAATCCATTCAAAACTCATTTAACCTTTCGAAAGGCTTATCTAAAGTTTTGCCTTGGGTGGAGGAAAACACTAGGATTTTGATTGGAGATGGTATGAATACTCAGTTTTGTCATGACAATTGGGTCCCTGCTTTCTACTTGCTATTGAACTATGCCTCATAAGTGATCACACCAGAAATTTCATATTGGAAGGTATGAGAGGTGATAAATAATGAAGAATGATGGTATTGGCAGAAGTTTGAGCACCTTATTACCCCTGATGCAGCATAAGCCATAACAAGAATTCCCCCTTCTCCTTGGAATGGTAGAGACAGACCCGTATGGGCTAACTCAAATGATTATGCCTTTTCTTTAAGCTCAACCTATAAACTTATTTCAAGTTCTCAGTTCAGTACTCCTTCTTTAAATTGGGATATGGTGTGGAAATAGGAAGGATTACAAAGGATAAAAACTTTCTTATGGAAGCTCCTCGGGAAAAATCTTCTAAGTAATCTTTGAAGAAAGCAAAGACATATGACTTCTTCTGATCTCTATCTTAGATGTCATATCCACATAGAGGACAACATTCATATGATTAGGGACTACTTTTGGGCCAACAACATCTGGAAAAAGTTAATCCACCCTAAAGTCTGGGCAGAATCCTCTAATGCCAACTTGTGCAACCTCTTACAACAAAACCTTCTCCACAAATCACACTATCCTAACAACTCTGATTGGCTTCTTTTGTTTGGAATTATATGCTAGTTGATTTGGACTGAAAAGAATAATCTTGTTTTTTCTTATAGAAGTATGTCTGAAGAGGTTGTCATTAGGAAAGCTTAGATATTCCTAAAGAATTACAGGGATGCTCAAGTGAAACTGACCCTGGCTGGTCTTCAACGAAATTGCAGAACAATTGTGCAGATAAAACAGAATTCCCCTTAACCTGATTGGATTAAATTGAGTGTTGATGGAGCTTGTACAAATGGAGGAAAAATTATGGGCTGTGGTGGTGTGTTTAAAGATGAAGAAGGAGCTTGGAAGATGGATTTTTCCAAAAAAAACTGGCATGGGAGCTAGGTTACGGCTGAATTATAGGACATTTTTACTGGTCTAAGTATAGCTTGGGAGCAGGATTTTAAAAGAAATAGGTTGCAATTTGGACCACCCATTGTCTTGCCTGTTATTGAGGATCCCAGAGTTACTGAATAGGAACCGAATCGGGAGATAAAAATTTCCCACACATATAGAGAGGGCAACATGATAGCTGACTGGTTGGTTGGACAAGCTTAGGGGTGTTCAAAATGTCCAAAAGAACCAAATCAATCCATAACCAAATTGCTCCACATTTTAAAAACCGATTATTTTTAAAAAACGGTTTTATATGAAACTGCATCTTATTTTATAAACTGGTTATTTACCAAACCACAAAAATAATTGCTTATCCATGGTTATCCATGACCAAACTGCTCTACAAATGAGGTTGAGGGCTTACCTAAGATGCGAAAAGGACATGTTGGCATTCACCGGTTGCTATGAAGGTTGCAATGAGACAGAAATGGAAGAATTGACCAAAATGAGGTTGAGTGTAAACTTAAAAAACAATGATTCGATAATCAAGAACTTTTGTATATTTTTTTTGATTTTTAACAAAATACTAAAAATTCAAGTATACATATCCATGGTTGATGGAAATGACAACATTTTTCTTCAGCTTATCTTGGATCTAATTTAAATTGGATGATGGAGTAATGTATTTTATTTTATTTCAACAAAAATAATAAAGGTATTTTTTATTTTATTTCAAAAAAATACCACAATTCATCAAAAATCAGTTTTGAAGTTACTATTAAACCGATTTTAAATTTGGTAATCAGTTTATTGTTCATGACCTGTTTTGATTTAAAACTGATTTTGAATCAAAACTGGTTTAAAATCGATTTTGATTAATTTTAAATCAAAATTGATTATGAACCATAAATCAATTTGGATAACTAAAAGCTGATTTAAAAAAAAAATCAGTTTAATTTGAAAATTAAACCATTTAAAATCGATTAGGTTCAAATTTTATCAAAATCAATTATCAACCTCGCTCTATGCACACGCTGGACAAGCTAATTCTCATATTTGGGAGACTCAATTTTTTAGTGAGATTCCTAATGGATGTGCTGATTTGTTTTGAATGATCGTATTCGTGGGGCATTTGTTGGCGAAGAATTGTAATTCCCGATTAATGCTGTTTTTAGTTTCAAGAAAAAGAAAAAGTCAACTCGGATTATCCCCAAGAAAATAAACACGTGTTCTGATGTAACAGTGAATGCAACTTTTTAAAAAAAAAAAAAAATTAATCATTTACTAAAAGTGAATTCTCACCAACTTCAAATCAACTCCATAAAAAATAAAAAATAATCGTTTACAAAATGCCAATATACAATAAGCTTAGCCCTGTCTAAATCGAAACTCCACAATCAAAGAACTCATCCAAGAAGTTCAAAAAGAAGAAAAGCACAATGGCGTGTAGAAACTTGGATGAACAATCTGTTCTGTATATGGTGAAAGATTCGGTATCTGCCTCGTAAATACGCTAATATATAAATAATTTTACTTTTTAAGTAAAAATATTTTGTATAGTCTGAGCTAATCGAACCTGAACCACATGCGTTGTGTTGGTGAAGAAAATCGATGTTGTTTCCGAAAACCCCACTTACTCAGAGCCATGTCTCTTTCCTCTCTCCGCGATTCACTCAACCATTCTTCCGCCGCGTCTTCTCTTCACTCAGTGGTGAAAACGACGCCGTGTTGGTGTCTCAGATCCTTCTGCAACATCACAACCCATTCCACGCTATGGAATCGTGTCTCCAACTCCACGGCATAACCCTAACCCCAAATCTTCTCTCTCACACCCTCCTCCGCCTCAACCATCACTCCAAGATCGCACTCTCTCTCTTCAACTACTCCAAATCACTCCCGAACCCACCCCTCACGACAACCTCGTACGACACCCTCATCGACATCATGGGCAAGGTTCGACAATTCGACGTTGCCTGGCAACTCATAATCGAAATGGATCAACGACACCTCACTCCGACACCTTCCACCTTCTTGATCATGATACGCAGGCTCGTCGCAGCTGGTCTCACTCGACAGGCCGTTAGGGCTTTCGACGACATCGACTCCTTCCAAAACGACAACACCAAAACGACATCCGAACATTTCTGCGTTTTGCTCGACACGCTTTGTAAGTACGGGTATGTCAAATTAGCCGTTGAGGTTTTCAACAGAAACAAGCATATGAATAGGTTTAAGCCTGATGCGAAAATGTACACTGTTTTGATATATGGTTGGTGTAAGTTGGGTAGAGTTAAAATGGCTCAAGCGTTCTTGAATGAGATGGTGGAGAATGGGATTGAGCCTAGTGTTGTGACTTATAATGTGTTGTTGAATGGGGTTTGTAGAAGGGTGAGTCTTCACCCTGAGGAGAGGTTTGAGAGGACTATAAGGAATGCAGAGGAGGTGTTTGATGAAATGCGCAAGAGAGGGATTGAGCCTGATGTGACTAGTTTCTCGATTGTGCTTCATGTTTATAGCAGGGCGCATAAGCCACAGTTGTCGCTTGATAAGTTGAGATTGATGAAGGAGAAAGGGATCTGCCCGACCGTGGCGACGTATACTTCGGTTGTTAAGTGTCTTTGTTCATGTGGGAGGCTTGATGACGCTGAGAGTTTGCTTGATGAGATGGTGAGGAATGGAGTGAGTCCTTGTGCTGCAACATACAATTGCTTCTTTAAGGAGTATAGAGGGAGAAAGGATGCAGACAGTGCTTTGAAGTTGTTTAAGAAAATGAAGGACGATGGTTTGTGCTTGCCAACTTCACACACATACGGTATTTTGATTGGGATGTTTTTGAAGTTGAATCGAATTGGGGTTGTGAAAGAAATGTGGCATGATATGAAACAGTCTGGGGTTGGACCGGATTTGGATTTGTATACAGTTTTGATACATGGGTTATGTGAGAGACAGAATTGGAGGGAGGCTTGCCATTTTTTTGTTGAGATGATAGAGAATGGGTTTCTTCCTCAGAAAGTTACTTTTCAGACCCTTTATAGGGGCCTAATACAGTCTGATATGTTGAGAACTTGGAGGAGATTGAAGAAAAAGCTTGATGAAGAATCCATAACATTTGGTTCAGAATTTCAAAATTATCAGTTAAAGCCGTATAGGAGATAAACTTATCATACATAAGGTACTTTTGAGTCTTCCATCTTAAACTTAATGATTATGTATCCAGATTATATCTGGTGTTTAATTACACATTACGGTTGCATGTTTGACTTGACCTCTTGGGTAGAGCATGGAGATTAAAAAAAGTATTTATAGAGCAATTGCAATTGTATACTAAGGTAAGCAACTCAGAATGGTAGTGTAGTTTTAGGGATGATCGAGAGCAATAGCTGACTTGATTTGCAATTGTAGGAAATCAAGATTCAAATATTTCTGTTTTTTATTTACTATTGATTAGGATTGATTATGATTGATTGATTAGTCATTATTGAGTCATTTTTAGCGATTCTTTCTTTTATAAATACTCCTTATGTAATTTATTCAAATCAATAAAAAGAAATACAAAATTCTTTATTTCTTTATGGTATCAAGAGCGGGTTCGTTCCTACCCTAAATTAGCCGCTGCACGCGCCGCCACGAGCCGTCACAAGCGCGGCCAGCCTCCAGCGCGTGAGCTCCACGCGCCACCTTCCCGACTTCTTTTTCTGCCGCGACTTGCACAGAACCTCTCGCCGACGTATCCCCTTCCTATTCCAGAGGTCAGATCTGAAAATATAAAAACTTGATTTTTTCATCCACGGTCAAATCCTCTCTCTTCCTTCATGTCTTCCTCAGAGCGTTCTTCTGCTTCCTCATCTGTTCCCAATACTCAGTCCTCTGGAGACAACTTAAGTATGCAAATTACTAGTCATCGGTTGAACGGTTAAAATTTTCTGCAATGGTTTCAATCTGTTAAGTTGGTGATCTGGGCAAAAGGTAAGATGAGTTATCTTGAGGGAAAAATTAAGAAACCTGCTGAGGATTCTCCTGATTATGAAAATTGGGAGATTAATAATTCCTTGGTAATGGCATGCTGACTAATTCCATGGAACCACATATTGGCCAAACCTATTTGTTCTTCGATACTGCCAAGGAGATTTGGGATGCTGTTCAACAAAATTATTCAGATCTGGAGAATACCTCTCAAGTCTTTGAATTGAGAAATAAGTTGAGAGACTTTCGTCAAAGGGGTATGATTATTACTGAATATTTTACTGCACTAACAAATTTATGGAAGGAACTGGATTTTTATTATGCATCCGATCTTAAAGGATTGGAAGCGAATACCCAGTTTAAAAAACACTTGGAGAATGAGCGACTTTATAATTTCCTTGCTGGCCTCAACCGAGATCTTGATGAGGTTCGTGGTCGAATATTGGGGCAACGATCGTTACCCTCACTTGCTAATGCCTTTGCTGAAGTTCGTAGAGAAGCAAGTAGATTGAGAGTTATGCTGGGAGAAAATGAGACAATTGATAAGTCTGATGATATGTCTGCATTAGCTGCCAAACGTACCTTTGAGCGTTCCTCTAGAGAATCAAAACGGGATGGTCGTCCATGGTGCACTCACTGTAATAAAATTGGTCATACCCGTGAGAAATGTTGGGAAATTCACGGGAAACCTACAAATTGGAAGCCAAAAGGACAGAATAAAGGTAGTGCATATCAGGTCTCTACTGATGACAAGATTGATGAGCCTCGTGCATCTTCTGACTTTGATGGTGTCTTTCTTAGCAAAACCCAGTTTGAACAACTTCAGAGACTTTTGACTCAACCTCCTAAGGCCACTAGTAATGTGGCTCAGCAAGGTACAACTTTCCATGTTGATAGTCAAAATCATTGGATTCTTGATTCTGGAGCCTCTGACCATATGACAGGTAATCCGAGCTTGTTCTGTTCATACACTCCATACTCTGGACCCTCTCGGGTCAAGATCGCCGATGTCAGTTTTTCCCAGATTGCAAGACACGAATCATTAAACTTTCTGAGCTAATTAATTTAACATCAGTTCTTTATGTTCGTTCTCTGGCTTGTAATCTCATTTCCATAAGCAAGCTGACTTCTGAGTTGCATTGTTTTGCTAAATTCTTTCCTCATGGTTGTGTTTTTCAAGAACAGGACTCGGAGAGGATGATTGGCAGTGCTAGAGAGGATGGTGGACTTTACTACTTTGAGGAGGATGTGACTCATGAAGTTGTTTTTGTGGAAAAAGACTCTATGTTTCCTTTTGATTCATGTAATGATGTTATGTTGTGGCATCGTAGGCTAGGCCATCCAAATTTTAACTATCTTCAGAAGTTGTTACCAAACTTATTTATTAATAAAAGTCCTAGTTTGTTTTCTTGTGATATTTATCAACTTGCCAAGCATACTCGTGTTCATTATCCTTCTAAAGTTCACCATGATTCTTCCCCATTTTCTTTAATTCATAGTGACATATGGGGTCCAGCCTGTGTAAAGAATATTTCAGGTGCTCGATGGTTCATTACCTTCATTGATGACCATTCCCGAGTTTGTTGGGTATACCTTAAAGGACAAGTCAGATGCTGCATCCATTTTTAAAAAATTTCATGCCATGGTTCAAACCCAATTCCGAGCTGCTATACAAATTTTGCGTACAGATAATGACAGAGTATTTTAACTCTATTCTTGGAGAATATATTTCCCAACATGGCATCCTTCACCAAAGCTCGTGTCCTGACACACCCCAACAAAACGGAAAGAAAAAACTGACATCTCCTTGAAGTTGCTCGGGCTCTTATGTTCACTATGAGTGTTCCTAAATACCTTTGGGGGGAAGCCGTTCTCACTACCATGTGAAGGAATCTGGTTGAGAAGACTTCTTCAAGAGTTGAAGATTTCATATTCCCTACCAATAAAACTATATTGTGACAACAAGGCAGCTGTCAGCATTGCTCAAAATCCTGTGCATCATGATCGAACAAAGCACGTGGAAGTTGATCGCCACTTCATCAAAGAAAAATTAGATGATGGAAGTGTGCGTATGATGTATGTTCCTACCAAAGAGCAGACTGCAGATATCCTTACAAAGGGCCTACACCGTCCAGCATTCGAAGACTTGATTGGCAAGTTGGGAATGATCAACATTTACCTCCCAACTTGAGGGGGAGTGTAGGAAATCAAGATTCAAATATTTTCATGCTGAGAGACTGTGTGTGGGCTAAACTAGTTTGGAAGAAAATTGTTCCCTTTGAGCATCAACACAACTTTTTTAGCCTCTCCCTTGATGACTGGTTGAGGTTTCATCTGAGTAGGGGAAAGAATACCATCATAGGAGAAGATGCTAGAATCTGGTTTGGTACAACTTGTTGGAACATTTGGAAGGACCGCAACAGGTTCATCTTCGAAGGCACTCCTCTCAATCCCGTCAGCGCCTTCCTCCAAACCAAATCCATGGTGGATGGCATATACCTTGCGGACAGACTCCTCGCTTCAGCCAATATTGTTCCTAGACCCTGTTTTGAACGCTTTGTTAGCTGGAAGTTTCCTTTGGCGGGATGGACTAAAGTTAACACTGATGGCAGTTGTTCTCTAGAGGGAGCTAGATCATCATGTGGTGGCGTCTTGAGTGACTCAGGAGGGAAATGGCTTGTTGGGTTCAGGAAATTCACAGGCCATGGCAACGCTCTTCTTGCCGAACTGAAAGGGATCTTGTTGGGGTTAGAAGTTGCTTGGGATCATGGTTACAGGAAGGTCTTGCTGGAAAGTGATTCTACCGTTGCAGTTGGCTTTGCTAAGGATGGTTGTGCTAGGAACCAACCTTTCTTCTCCCTGGTTAGCAGAATCCATGCTTTATTGGCGAAAGAATGGATGGTTGAAGTAACTCATACCCTAAGAGAAGGGAACTCTCTGGCAGATTGGCTGGCCTCTAGTGCCCTTGGTCATGTTTGGGAGCTGGAAATTTTTCCTAACCCTCCGTCCGAGTGTAGACATCTGTTATTGAGGGACCAAATGGGGGTTACTACACCCAGAATGGTCCATAGCTAGTTTGCTTTATTCTCTTTCCTGTATTTCCAAAAAAAAAAAATTATTTCTGTTTTTTTATTTCCTATTGATTAGGATTGATTATGATTGATTGATTAGGATTGATTGATTATGATTGATTAGTCATCGCTGAGTCATTCTTAGCGATTCTTTCTTGTATAAATACTCCTTATGTAATTTATTCAAATCAATAAAAAGAAATACAAAATTCTTTATTTCTATAGCAATTCAGAGAAAGTAATTGACATTCAAATCAGGTTGTGAATTACCTTTTAGGGTAGTTAGTTGGGGACATTGTAATATGGGCTCAGGAAAGAGAAAATGAAAGATCAACAAACTGAAAGTGATTTCTGTATTATTCAAGCATGAATTGAATACACTGTTTTCTGTATCGTTACATTATATACAAGATATGTTCCCCTAACTACTCAACAAACTAACTTCCATATTACCTTTTGTTATACATGTAAATTCTTTCGAACAACCTCTAACAATAGTAATCCTTGAGTCTAGAGGAAGGAACTTTCTCTCTTCTTTTATTCTCCTTCGTAACATACCCCCTTTATCAATAATAACCTTGTCATCAAGGTTTAATTCATGGTAAGCTCGTTTCAGGTACTCTTCTTATTCCCTCAAAACCTCCTCTGGTGATGTATCTGACCATTGCACAAGTAATTCCCTCTTAGTCTGGCCACAGCATTCCACTGCTCTAACATTCAAAATTGCTATCGGCACTTGAATTGGCCGATTATCAACCTCAAACTTTGGCATGAATAAGGGTTTGTCAAGTGGAGGACCAAACCACGGCTTCAAAAGCGAAACATGAAATGTTGAGTGAATTTTACATCCCTCTGGTATCTCCAATTGATATGCTACCGCATTGATGACTTTGATAACTTTGAAAGGCCCTAAAAATTTCTTCCTAAGTTTATGGTTGCATTGACGTTCCACCGACACTTGACCATAGGGCTGGAGCTTCATCCACACAAAATCACCTACCTCAAACACCTTCTCATGCCCCTGTGTTTATCGGCTTGCACTTTCATTTGATTACAAGCTTGTTGAAGGTTCTTCTGTAAGCTGGTCATCAACTCATTTCGTTGTTCTAACAAAGTATTCACAGCCTCAATCTTCACCATTCCTTTAGGATAGAACGGAATAAGGTTAGACTCTTACCAACCAAGGCTTGAAAAGGAGATACTCCAATAGTTGAATGGATAGCTGTGTTGTAGTGAAATTGTGCCCAACATAATAGCTTCGACCAGGTTTCAGGCTTCTCATGAAAGAATATATGCAAATATCGCTCCACATAGCGATTTGTCACTTTTGTTTGCCCGTCAGTTTGCAGGTGATATGCAGTGCTTGCCTTCAAAGTTGTTCCACTATACTTGAAAATAACACTGCAAAACTGGCTGAGGAACATTTTATCACGATCAGAGATCAAAGATATGGGAAAATCATTGTTAAGTACCACCAAGTCACAAAATTAATGCGTAACTTTTGCCGCTGTGAAGGATGAAGGTAAGCATACTTGCTAAGCCTATCGACTAATATTGTGGTCAACCCATTAGAAGGAGGTAAACCAACGATAAAATCCAATGTCAAATTCTCGAATATTGCGTCTGGTACTAATAACGGTTGCAATAACCCAAGATATTGAAGAGAAGCTACTTCTTCCGCAAGTTCTTGAACCCGAGTTATGGAGAGTTCAAGGAATGAAAGTATCAGTGTTAGACTTTTCCTGAGCGGCAGGAAAGAGAAAACGAAAGATCAACAAAATGAAAGTGATTTCTGTATTATTCAAGCATGAAAAATGAATACACTATTTTTTTGTAATGTTACATTGTATATAATGGTATTCTGTGAAACACGGAGACGCTGTTTTAGAGAAAAAATGCGTGTCCGACACGTGTCCGACACAGACACATTCGGACACGCGTCCGACATGCAGTAGACTTTTTAGGACACGTTGATTAGTGGGACACGCGAATTTGACCGAATCGGACACGCGGTCAATGGATGTGGACACGTTTTAACATTTTTTAACTTAAAAGTTCATTTTCAATAGCCGCACCATCCAAGTTTCTCTCCGATAGCGCAGAGAGAGAGATGGATTGGGAAAACGTTACGGCAGAGGATCTGATGGACGCGCTCCGCGAGGTGGATTGGTCGTCGCCGCCGCGCCCTCTGTTGGAGTTCTTCTCCCGATTCACCGTTCCTAGATCTTCATCTAAATGGAACAGCAGCCTCAAATGCAATCTCTACTAGTACCAACCCTTCCTCTTTCGCTTTCATTAATTCATTCAAATTTCATGATTAGCTGAACGATTTTTCTTTTTCCTTTTTTTTTTTTAATTCTCTAATCTTAACTTTTTCCCTTTTTTTGAACTGAATTTTGATTATTATTTTTTATGATTCTAATCTTATTTTGAGGTTTTACAATTTTTTCTTTTGCTGTTGATGTTGTTATTTAAATGTGCTCAAACGTAAAATGGTTTTATTTTATTTTATTTCAGTTTTAGGAATTCCGTGATAAATTTGTGGCCGTTGGATTGCTTAGCTATCCGTGTGAATGTAGAATTGGGAAGCTGAGCCCGTTGGATTTATAATACTTGATTTCGATTGGCGGAAATTGTGTGATGCGGATTGCGTGGGTTTGAAATTAGAAGTGCGGGGTTTTTTATTGGAAATTGTGTCTATGAGAAAACACATTTTTTTTAGCCTGAGGGATACGAATTTTGAATGAAAATGTAGACATCGCGCTTTACATGAATGTAACCGCGTTTGAAAATTAAACGCATCATCTGCAAAGCAGTATTTAGATATTTGATCTCTTATATTATATATATTAAAAAATTTATTTAATATCAAAACGTGTCCCAACGTGTTCAAATATGATATTTTTTTAAATTAACGTGTCGTGTCCCGTGTCCGTGTCCGTGTCCGTGTTCGTGTCCGTGCATCATAGATGGTATTTGCAGCTAACACATACACAATGTCTCTTTATTTTCCATACACGTGCGACTAATTACTCAACAAATTAACTTCAACATTCCACTTCGTTATGCACATAATTAAAGAAATATCTAATCTGAATGATGAATACACTGTTATATAGATAGATGACTTTACAACTATCTTAGTCATCATATCTTCAGAAAATAAAATAAAAT